TGAGTTTTGTTGGGTTTGGCTTTAGAGTTCTGTGCAAAGTTGATCATTTACTTTAAATTGTATCCCTCTTTTTTTTTTTTTTTCAAAAAAAAAAAGTAATAATAAGTAACCATTGCAACAACTCTAAATCAACTGGGACAATTGGTCCCTTGTTGCAGTAGAATAAAAATTACTTCTAATTTACTGAAATGAAAATATTTCTTTACGTTCAGGAAAACTCATAAATCACCAATCAAACATAGAACTTTTTAGTAAATCATATGTGACATGGTATTAGCCAAGTATTTTCCAGAATACCCACTGCCCAAATTATTTATTTTACATTAAATTTTTACAATTTAAATACCAGATTCTACTCCTTCTAGCCATGTTAATATAACAGAATGCCCATTAATTTAGCATGTTCAATAGATATTAATAAAAGAATCTGCTTACAATGGAAATAGGAAAAATAGAATCCCCTGGTCACAAGAATTGAAAAGTTTTCCTGCACTGAAGAGTCATTTTTGAAATCAAAGAAGACTTGAGAGTCATACAGAATTTAGAGAGAGAGTATGAAATTGCATAATTTACACTAAGTCTATTATAGACTACACACTAAGTCTTCCACAAACAGCATCCCTGTGCTACATTCAGACTGAAGACTTCATTGTTACAGACACCTCCTTATGCAAACCAATTTGAAGTGAGTCCTGAAATCAACACAGCAAAATGAAGTCTTCCTTTTTTCCCCCTTTTTTATATTTAAATAACTTCTTTGTATTTCTAAGCTGTACAAACATATTTTTTTTAGTAGCCAAGCTACTTGCAAATTATAGAAAGATCTCTCCGGAGACTTTGAAGACTTCTTCATGTCATTGTTTTGTTGCTTATGTGAGTGTACTGTTTGGATATATCTGTTATGCTGTTATTGGTAAACTGCCATTTTGCAGGCCAGTGTGAAAACAAACAAACAAAAAGCAGTTCATGGAGTAGTTCAAGCATTACCACTAACAGACATGATCTCAGCTACAGCCTGAAGCTATAGTATGAACTACTATTCATGTCTAGAGACAGCAGGGCACTCCTGATGATGCTTGAGTACAGCCTTTCCTAAGAAAACTTTCCCTTCTGTATAGCACTGCTTTGTTTATGAAACAAGCACTGGGTTCAAGAAGTGATGTAGATAGACAGTGACCACCAACAACTGCAAAAGTTCAAAATAGTTAGGAGGACTTTTCGAATGTGAACATCTGACGGGAGAGGCAGATTAGAAACGACTAAAGCTCCTTTTGTTTATTCAGAGAACCTGCATATTATATTCACCTCTGACAGCAACTACTGCATTTGGTACAGATGGTCACCTGTTGCACAGTAGCAACAATATGAAGCTCTTCACAGGGCCACCAGCCCCTTGAAGCCTGGGCAAGGTTGTCAGCTCCCACAAGCATGAGCAGGACACAGATCGTTGGCTCCACTCAGGCACAGAAGTCCATACAAAGAAAAGGCAGTTTATCTATTGTGCTTCAATCGGTTAATTGAAACAGGCTCAATAACACCACTTTTTAACAGTTCAGAAAAAAATACTGAGGTGATTTTTTTTTCATTTTCTACAAAATAAAAGCTCCTACCACTAGTACCTGAAAGGCACAAGCAAATTTTTCCTTTTTCATGGAAACCCTCTCTAAATACCACTTCCATTGCTAATGAAATCTTCCCTTACACATCTGCACTGCAGAAAACAAGGCCTAATGAAATACAAGACGACAGAACATTGCACCGTGGGGCATTTAAGAACATCTCACCAAGACTTAGTGTGAAGAGCAGCCCTTTTGCACTTTGACCTAGGTCTGTGTTCTACACTAAGACAAAGATCCCTCCGACTTCTAGAAAGTCTAGAAGTTTCTAGAACTAGAAAAACATACAATAGCTTAAGGTCACCAGTCCTGAAAGTGTCACGTGGTCCAAGACAGCTTGTATGCATTTTGAGGAAAATCCTAAGTTTCTTTATACTGTTTGGGTATTTGGGGCAAATGTCTGGTATGAATTCTGTAAACAATGTTTTTTAGATGGTTGAAGAAAAGAAAAACTTTCAAGCCGTGACAGCAAAGACAAGAGCATGATTTGTATATAGACATTTTCAAAACATCTTGAACTCCACAAACAACATAAATAAGGCTTCAGCAAAAAGGGGATCAATGTAATCACTTCAGTATGGAAAGCTGTCAGCTTCTCCATGTGCCTGCAAAAATCTGACCAGCTACTGATTGCCTACAGCACGTAACAGAGGTCTCTGAAGCGACAGTACAGAACAGAAAGTACTTGTTATTGGCACAGTAACTACTACAAATCTTTCTTTGTAGGCAGACTCTTCCAACATCTGGAATGCAAGAAAACTTTTTGTCTTTTCTAAGTGTTATGGGAACAGAGAGCTCACAGGACATTGACATTAATCGATGGGACCATTATCTACATTGACATTAATCAATGGGACCATTATCTGTTGCTAAATTCCCATAATCATGTTATTGCCCATTCTATACACCAGATACTGCTGATTCAAAGCACTATCCAATTCAACCAAACTTTTTCACCATCTCCTTTGAGAAGAGGAGGAATTTCTCTCTCTTTCTTGGACTTCATCCTCTTCCTGCATGTCAGCTCAGTCTGTGCCAAGAGGGCACCTCCATGAAATCTCTCTAATCTTTCCTACAAATTTACCAGGACATTCCTGGAAATGACAAGTCTGCTTATGTTTATATGCTTTTTTGCTTCCTTCCTAACACTATCCACTCTTGGTTGCCTAAGATTATCAGTCTAATTTCTGTATATCTCCATACATACAGCTGTTTTAGTTATTTTTTTTGTTTCAATTTTTCTTCTACAGCTGCTGTGACAGTGCACTGAACTGTGCTATGTTTAAGCAAAAATAACTTGAATTACATTTTCCAGACTTCATCTGTGAATACTTTTTGTCCTCTTTGGACAAAAAAAGGAAAACAAAAATACTTAGCTATATCTAAATGAAAACATTAGTATTTGATGCATCTCTCTTTCATCTGTTGTCTCTTTCATGTCAAAGAGTCATTGGGAATAGTGACAGAAGCAATGTCTGGGAAATATCTGATAATTTTAATTTTTGTCTCAAAATGTTGACTCTTTGAAAACAAAATATCACAAAAATCTGACTCTGGACAATCTTCTGATAGAACAGACACAAGTTTCAAAACTTCTTTGCTAATTCCACAACATGTGGGTTGCCTTATACCCAAGATACAAATTTCTGTCATTCCACAAAAGGAATAACAATGACAATTTCCAGGAATGTTTCTACACAAAATGTTAACACTAATTTGTTAATTGGTTTTCCCAGGAATCTCAGCTGCAGTAGACTAATGAATCATTTGCTGAAAGAACTGAACACTGGGTTTTAGTGTCTGGCATCTCTTATATCAGCTGCTGAGGCAGTTCTGCTGATGGACAGTCTGCATGACAGCTCCTCTACATAAGGGTCTGCTGTCCAGTTTACTGCTGAAGTATCTGAAGAGCCTTGAGATTTTGAAATTTCACTCAGAAACCGTATTTAATGACTATTTTCTTAGCAGGGAGTCATTCGTCACGAAGTGCAGTAACTTCTAAAGAAGTAAGGATTTTCCAAAGACTAGAAATAAGACATCAAATTCTGTAATAGAGGGGAAAAGGTATTGAGATTCTTATTTTGGAATCCCTGATGGCTCTGAAGAAAGAACAGTCCTAGTTAGCAGGTGTCAACAACCAGGAAACCAAAGAGGAACCTCAGACTAGTCTCAGGAATCACACAATTACAGAATGGCTTGGGTTGAAGGAGACCTCAAAGATCATCTAGTTCCCAGCCCTTGCAATGTGCAGCTCCTCATTTCCAAGATGTTTGACCTGTGGGTCTGCCCCAGAGGCTGAGAGGTATGGGCACAGGAAGGTTCCCCCTCCACAGCAGCTGTTTTTGGCATGGATACTATCTGACATTTCAGTTCACCTGTCATGTACAGATCAAATTCAATCCAAAGGAGGTACAATTTTCTTTTACAGTGAAAATCCTTCCTCTGCTTGCTGATACGCCATCCTACAAAAAGTCTTTATTTCTACATTAATATTTCCCTCTACTCTCAGCCCGCAGGTCATAACTCTGCTCAGTACAGCACGTAGTGTTTCTTCTTAACTGTATCACAGAGGTGATAATCAGATCTTTGTTATTAACATTTTTGCAAATGGATTTTAAAAATACGAATGCTCTCTTCAGCTTTGTCTCAGAAGTGTCCTTGGTTCTGCTTATAACTGATTATTTTGAGTGGCCTAAGACTGTGCAGGAGTCTTACGTAGCCCACTCAGTCCCTTTTAATATATACCACTGAAATTACAGCACATATAAAGACAGCAGAAAAACAAACCTAATTTATTCTCATTCTCATCCCAAAGCCAGCTCGTGAACTCTGTTTTTCTGTGGCAGCATGCATGGGCTCACACGAATCTCACTAAAATAAATATTCTACATGTCTTGTGAGGCGGTAAGGCTGCCCTGCCCCGGTCTCTTCCTGGCACATCCTACACCCGTTCGTGGGCTCGTGCTTTTACCTGTGCCCGCTGCCGGCACTCCGTGCGCCTGGGACAGCCACGAGGGCTGCTCTGTACGAGCAGAAGGGCTCCTCTGGTAGCAGGAGGCTGGCAGAGAGCGGGAACACTGCCAGGAGCCCCAGGGAGCACCTGAAGGGCGCCGGGGGGACGTCCCGTCGAAGGGCAGCGGCTCGCACTTCTGGGAGGGAGCGGGAGCGGCGAGAAGAGGGAGGAGGAGAAAAGCGGAGGAGAGGGGTTGAGGAGTAAGCGGGAGGAAAGCGAGCCGGAGTGCAGAGGAGGAGCTGAACGCAGCCAGGCTGCGGGCAGTGCACAGTCGGGCCGGGAGCTGCCAGCCGGAGCGGGCGGCCGGCGGGGGCAGGCGCGGGAGCCGCCTACAGCCTCAGGGCGGCGGCCGCCCGAGGGGCAGGGGCTCGGCCGGGCGCCCCTCGGGCCCTATGGTGCGGCGGCGGGACCCGGCTGCTGCTCGCCGCCTTCCGAGGGGGCCCGCGGAGCGGCGCGGGGCAGCGCGGCCCGCCGGCACTCGGCTGGCATGAGGAACCTGCCGATCCTCCTCCTCCTCTCCCTCAGCTGGAACCTGCGGCGGGTAAGTCGGCGGGCGCTCAGGCGGAGCGGAGCAGGTGCGGGAGAGCGCCTCGTGAGAGGGAGTGCGGGCGCCGCGGACGGAGCAGAAGGCGCTGCTCTGCCCCGCCGGGACCGAGGTGTTTCACGGGCGCTGCTGTAAAAATCAGCCCGAGTATGAAAACCTTTAAGGTGCCTTCCGTTCATATCTGCGTTTTTAAGCATTGATCCGTCTAATCCCTGCTTACAAACAACCTGCGCTTGGGAAAGCAGGGCGATGCACTTCGGTGACCGGCCCTGAGCGAGTGCCCTCGGCATTCCTTCTGGGGTCCTGGATGTAACAGGGTGCTGTCAGGCTGGAGCCCCCCATCTCCTCAGCCTGTAGAGGTACGTCTGGAGGGCGGTGTGCTGGGGCAGCTGTACGGTTTGGCACACGTTTTGTGTTTGAAAAGTGATGTTGCATTGCCTTCAAGTGCAACCAAATTGATGTTCTCAAAGTAATCTTCACTATAGATCACCGACAGCGGGAAGCCTGTACTTACTCCACAAGTGCCAGAGGTCGAAGATTTGCAAGTTTTCTTCATCTCAGTAGCTGATTTGATTTGCTCTTCAACTATTTAACGTTTCTGTGCAGTGGAACTCACCCTCCTCAGACTTGCTAATCATAACACTTTTTGATGCGTAAGAGATCTACTGAATGTTTGCAATTGGGAAAGCATTTTCTTTTTCTTTCCAAAATCTGTTACGTGAAAGGAAAATCTAGATAAGTCACTACGTTTACTCAAGCCTTCATTAGAAATAGGAGCTATTTGGAGAGCAGACAGTACATAGCAAAGTGATATCTTCAGTTTAACTCTGAACTTCCTGTGATAACTGCTGGAAATCCTAATTTAAGGATCTGGACGCCCTAGAAGAAATCTACTTGAAAGTGTAGAATAAAAATAGTTGTAATAGGGTAAAAGGAGATAAGGCTCTGATGTGAAATGATTAGTTTGGAGAAGAGACATTCACATGAGTTTTATAGCAGCCCCTGCTGTGCTTATGGCCACCACACTGCATTCTAAATAGCTGTGCACCTGGCTACCAGGAGCCTGTAGGACAACAGGTTCTCAGTCCTAACTCTGGCTCCAAGGTTCTTGGATCTACAATCACGTATTGCCATTATGAAAAGTTGTGTGTGATGAATCATAGGCTATTACCAGACTCTGCTATTGTCTCCTAGAAAAAGGAGGAAAGATACCTCGCTTTTACTGTGGGGGTATGTGTCTTTCTACTGGATGACTGAAGTACACATACCAATGTTTTATTTCATTATGATCTCTGAGAATCCAACTGATATCAGCACAGTTTCCGGTGCCATTTTTCTGTCTCCCATCTCCATCCCTGTCTCTTCCCATCAACATAAATAAGCAGAGCCAGAGCCGTAAGTGAATGAAGAGAATACAATTTTAAAAATAGGATTTTAAAAGGAAGGCTTTTTTTCCCGTGTAGCACTTGCTTGAATCAAACAATCATGCTCTGAGACCTTCAGAGATAAAGTATACATGGTGGAAAAAGGAAGAAGAAAATCAAAATTTACCATGTCAAAGATAATACAGGCTGACCAGTTTTCATGTTCTGTCACTCATATTAAAACTTTCAGCTTCCTGACTTAATAGAAGAGCATATGCTTAAAGAAAGATGGGGGGGAGGGGAGGAAGCAGCAAATGTGTTATTTTCCTGCTTCAATTTAACCAATTGCTTTTCTGGAAAAAGGGAAGCAACAGCATTAGTGAATTCACTAGATAGTTAAGTATTTTTGTGTAAATGACAATTGGCTTTGGAATGCTACATGGAGAATCATTAAATGCTCTGGTGCATTACTTTAATATTTTGTTCTGAGAAGTCCTTATGTGAGAAGCCAAAATGGGCACTGACTGTGTGTGTAAAATGCCCAGCACATACTTGGTAAAAATAGCATCAGTTCTGGTTGTGGTTTTCACTATCAGTAGTTGCACCCTTCATAAAGCATTTTGATTTGTGTTTCAAGACCCTGGCTTCTTTGTTAATTTGACACAGGTGATTGGTGTCCATCCAGAATGCAGATTTCAGCTGGAGATTCACAAGGAGGAAACAAAATGCATGGAACTTTTAAAGCATGCAAAACCAGTGGACTACAAAGGTAAGAAAAGATGAACTATAATGTAGAGAAAACTGGAGTATCACATTTTTCTCTCTTTACCTTTTTTGCTCACTCGGTTGCGGTTGCCACGTTTCTCTATGTTGTGCATATAATTTCTATGTATGCTGGATCACATGCAGCTTTAGCCTTCAAATTGCAACTGGAGTTAGCGTATGGTGAGAATTGTGCCAGGCTGGGCATGCACTGGGTGTGATGCTGGATGAGAGAAAGTGTATGCTTGTGCTATGTTGCACGGGTAGAGGAGCTGCGTGCTGGTGGTGACAGGGAAGAACAAGGAACTGAGAACTGAGGAAAAGCTAAAAGCCTTGGTACAAAAGTCTCTCTCTGGAACTTGTTAAAAGTAAAATACTAGTGGTAGAATCACTGGGTTTAGCAGGCAGAAGATGATGTAGGCAAAAGAGAACATTCACCCCAAGAAGACCACAGTCATGCAAAGGAAAAATTGGACAATAGTGTGACATTCAGAAAATTAATATCCTATGTTACTGTAGTGCTTTTACTTTCTTTGCAAATATACCCAATGGTAATTTGAAATTGAAAGGAAGAATTTATCTTTTATGTATTTTCTTTATGTTTGCATTTTATTTGAAAGGCAGAACTTTGTTAAAAATTTGAGCTTTTTAGGAAAGTTGCAAGTCAGTATTGAATTTCTGTGTTGCTTTTGTTTGCTTGTTTTGTTTTTTAAACTAGCAAAAGTATAAGTGTTTTATAATTAATTATCTTTTGTAAACAGTATGCCAGAACACACGAGCAGGGTAAGGTTCTTCTTGGAACGCTTTATTTGCATGCATTACATGCCCAATGCTCTTCTGGTAACATGTAAAATATTGAAGGGAAGGGTGGGTTTTCAGCAAGGTGCTGGAAAAGAAGTGGGAGACTTTAGATCTAAGAGCAACTGCATGCTTTTAAGTCCAAAAGAAGATCTTGATTTTTGCAAAGTAGTGACGCATCATTAAATTTCTGTTGTCAAACACTTTTCAGGTGGTTTTAAGTATGTAGTTTCAAATTAGTTTGATTGAATTGGTCATTGATGTCCTGCCTTTTTCTCTTGTAGTCCAGGTGCATGTCATCTCAGAATAACTGGGCTCTTTGGAAGATTGCAGCTCTTGTAGTGCAGTAGTTTTCCCTTGGTATTGTTAGATGATACGTGGTGTATTTGTTTTTTCACAATCTGTTTTGAATTCTGTCTGAAGATGGTACCTTAAGGATCTGCCACCAGCAATGTCCTATGAGCATAAACACCAATCTCAAATCAGGATCCCTTCTCCACTCCACTTTTAGATTTGGGAGAATAAATTCCTCAGTGTATGCTCTAATACCAATTTATATACAATAAAATAATTATAAGGATCATCAGTAGTTTGTGTTTTAGTGCAAGCTATTTTTGATTAATCCAGATCAGTAATTAAAACTATTATAATAAAAATACATCATTTACATTGTATTTGTATGAGTGATAAGATAGATGGCTGTTACACAAATAATATGAGTGTGAAGCCAGATGGATAAATAATTATTGGCCTGCTTAATGAATTAAATGATGAATTAATAAACACATTATTAGCTATTATAAGGCTTTGAAAGTCAGGCTTTCTTGAAGATCTGTTTTTGTGATCCAGATACTAGGCTGCTCGAAGGGATCCTTGTCATACACAACAGTTTTATTTTGGGCTTCCCAGGGGAAGAAGTTTTTTCTGGCAATGTTTCTGCCAGAGTGGGGAAGATGGGGGCTTCCTGAAAGCAAACTGCTGTGTAAGAGCTTTGTATCTTGGAAGACTATATGTCTGATGCTGTTGATTCAGCCCTGCAGGTAGAGATAATACAGCAGTGGAAGGATTTATACATTTAATTGAATGCCTGGCTTAAACAAATGGAATATTCCACTTCAGAGGAGATTTGAACATAGCCTCAGTGGTAACGAACCCTTAGAAACTGTGTTTGATATAACAGAACATACCCTGTGCTTCATGTTATAGATACCTTCACTAAGAACTTGACCAGAAGAGTCTATGTCAGAAACATCCATTTCCTAAAATATTAATTCTCTCTGTGTCCTTATTTTCCTAATAAACTCTGTATTCATGGAGAGATGTAAGGAATATTAAAACAGAGACATGCCGATTGTTGCAGTGATGCTCTGACTGCTGATAAAGAAGAGTTACTAATGAAAATTGGCAAGCTGGAACTGGTCCAAGCTCTAACTCTGCCCCCAAAACTTGTATTGCACTTGAAATCAATTCATTACAATAAATCCACAAAACCCACTTCAGTTTTTCCTGAATGAGAAAGATAACTGTACAGTCCTTGTCACACTTCTCTGACATCAGTAAATGCTACCTGCCTTGCAAAAGTTGCAGTGAAACCCAAGGTTCTGTCTAGGATTTGGAAACGAAGGCTCAGTGGGAGGCTTGAGCCCCAGTTCAAATTATCAATTATTAAAATTTTTCTTTTAACTTTTGGAACAGCTGTGTGGCCTTCACAGCTCTGTGTAATACGCTCCAGAATTTGGCCAGCATACACCACTAATGAATTTTGGAACTGCTGAGTTTTATGGGACAGGCAGTTTTTTCTTTGGTCTGGACAGTAATTACATTAGGAATACTGTATATATGTTGACTATTCTCAACTGTGTGGTGGGGACACATTGAGGAAAGATTTAATGATAATGGGTATTTTTTTTACATCATAAAATGATGTTATAGTCATCTACCTTATGACATGCAGTAGAATTTAACTGAGTAAATCATTAGCTATGAAGTCTACAAAGACCTTGCTTCATGGTTTAAGAAGGCATCAGTGGGTTTTGCATGGAAACACTGTATAAATGCTCTGTAAATATCCTTTGAACAATGTTAATGATGTATTAAAAACATATAACTTTCTACTTCGTACCCTTTGGGGGAATTTCAGGCATTAGCCTCTCTTCTGTTAGTTGAGAGCACTGCACTCCTTGTAGGGGAAAAAAGCCTCTCTCCAGAGGTCTGTGTTGGGGCCTTTGCCTGTGTGGTGATCTCTAGCAAATCTAGTTGTTTATTCAATAAAGACAGCCTCCATCCTCATTTGTTTATTCCCAAGGTACAGATGCACCTAAGCTGGAAGCCTGAGAGGTGGGGTGAGGTTTTTTGTCATCTTGTTTTCAGAGGGCAGGTGATTTCCATTCTAAATTGCTCAAAAGTTGCAGACCTTGAGGTCTGTATGAGAAAACAGGATTTCATCTTTTACCTTCTACCCATGGCTTGTTTTTTTTCACAATAAAATAGAAAGCTCCTATTGTATAAATTGTACACACGTAAAAATTGGCTGATTGCAAATTTTGGCATTTCCTCTGTATTTAGAATTTTACCTTACAGAACAATTGATTCATTTCTGTTCCTTTAAGTGAAAAGTGAAGTCTTAGATTCCAAATGTTAAAACTAAATCAACAGACTTTGTAACAGGATTCTAGAACAAGAAGAATATATATATATATTTTAATTCATTTTGGACTGAATGGCTATATAATTAAATGAGTCTTTTTGGATCTTGCTCTCCAAAATGCATTTTTGTGAGACCTGTCTGCCAGACAACATATTTACTTTAAATTTGACATCTTAACACTGAGGAAAGAATACAGGTGGAAAGAGAAATGGCTTTGGAAAAAGAAGTTAAGCTGTAATCTTATCACTGGAATTACAGTCAGTAGAATTTCACGCGGTGATTCCAACACCAAATTTCTCTGAAAGCTCTTCAGAATGGTGGGGTAAATATTCTAATGGACCAAAAGCTAGTTTGTCTTTAGTTAGACAAACTCTGCTATTAAGGTTATTTCTCCAGTAAGGAAGGTGTCTGTCTTGCATTCCAGACTCACACGCACACGTATGTAACTCTGTGTTGCACAAGTGAAGAACTGACTGTGAGTGTAATTATGCCAACCTGAAGATCGCTCTCTTCTCTTGCTTATGTTGGAGATTTACACAAAGCTGTATGAGGTGTTTCTCCTGATGGGTCCCCTCTTTCTTAATCCTTGCAGTCTTTTCTGGGTCCTCTGTCAGTTCCTGTTTGTTTTTGCACTTGTTTGCTCTGTAAGGTGTGTTCCGTAGAATCATGGATTGGCATAGATAGGAATGGACTTTAAAGATCCTCAAGCTCCAAACCCGCTGCTGTGGGCAAGGCTGTCAGCTCAGTAGTCAGGGTTATGTTTTGGTTAGACTGCTTAGATTTATCTGAGGTAGCATTAAATATAGAATTTAATGATAACTGGACCATGGAACTTCTTTCACACAGCACCAGTGGGTTGTTAAGGAAAACTTTGGCTTTTTCAGATCTGAATTGCTGCCTTTCTGGCTGTATTACAAGCATGCTGCTTTTTGGTTCACACAATTTTTAAAAATATTTAAGGAGCTGAGGGGTCTGCTTTGAATGTTTGGTTACTCATGGTTTTAATTAGTTGAGCTGTCATTGTTAATGGAACCGTGTAAAACTGTCTATGGTGAAAGTTATACTTAATTATTTCAGAGCAGAAAATAGCTGGGTAGTCTTATGAGGAGCCGGACCATAGGTGAGAAAGTACTTTGAATGAAAGAAGGTATGGGAAGTGCAGTTTCCTACTGAAAACTAACTAATGTGTAATAAATAGCAAAGATCAAGAAAATATCCTGGTCAGCCTCATTCCAAATTCCACATCGTGAAGTTACTAAGAGTGACAGTAAGAAATGTATTTTTCAAAGAAAGGAGGCATTGAGTGGCCACAGATATATTCCGCAATTTTGAAGGTCTAAAATTCCTGTGCCACCAAAAGGTAAGTAGAAAGTGAGCAATGGATATTAATAATTGGAGCCTGAAAAAATAAGCTGTACATCTGTAAGAGAATTAATTTTGCTCTCTGGAAGATTCTTAAAGAAACATCTGCCCTGTGTAGTTTTGAATTTGAGTCCTGGTAGAGACGTCTTTGGCCATGGCAGGCATCCATGTCATCCATGAAGAAGCAATTCTGAATACCA